CTGTGTGTGTGTCTGTGTGTGTGTGTCTGTGTGTGTGTGTGTCTGTGTCTGTGTATGTCTGTCTGTGTGTGTCTGTCTGTCTGTGTGTCTGTGTGTGTGTCTGTGTGTCTGTGTGTGTGTGTCTGTGTGTGTGTCTGTGTGTGTGTGTGTCTGTGTAGGCCTGTGTGTGTGTCTGTGTTTCCTAACTCACACCTAGCGGTGCAGAGCGAGCTGGCAGAGACTCAACCGGGAAGCACGAAGCAGATTTGCGGAGCAAAACTGAGAAGAGGATACAGCCTCTGAGGAATGAAAACCAGGAGGGGAGGGGAGAGGCTGGGGTGGGGAGCGACAGCGCACCCCTCTTCCTGGTTCCACATGAGCACGGGCACATTCCTGAGGACATCGCAGGGAGGCGTAAGGGGGCATGGGGCAAAGACGGGGAAAGAAACTAGGACACTGGAAGGCCCACAGGGCTGGGCTGGGGAGACAGGTAAGTGGCCAGCTGGGGCCCTCCGTGACCTGGACACCAGGCACATCTTCCAGAGAGGCAGACGGATGTGCCTCCGCTCTGGCTGACCAGCCCTGTGGGAGCACAGATGCCAGATCATCTGACTTCTCAAGAGAAACCAGAACTCTCTAGATTTGTATGCAGCATTTCCCAATTTAAAAAACAAAAAAATTACAACAACGAGGATACCAAAGTACCATGCAGAGAAGATCTCTAGAAGGATTTTAAAGAATCTGCTAATAGTCGCCTCTGAGGAAGGGAAGTGAGTCTTTCCTCACCACCCCCAGCCTCCCTGCCTGCTTTTTTTGCCCCCTTACCCTTATGGATATACAGCTTCATTATCTTATTCATTACTGTCTCCCCCACCAGGAGAACATGAGTGACCGCAGCATCCCCAGCATCTAAATGCTTGTTGAGAAGGGGAGAAAGGAGCCTTACTTTCCACTGTGGACCACTGGCTACATTTTGAGTTATTTGCAGGTATGTCTAATCAGCAAATAAATACCTCTTAAGAACATTATGAACAAAACCACAAGGAGGGTCAAGAAATATATATGCGGGCTAGACCCAGGCAGGGGCTGCCAGGTTGTGACCTCTGGTCAACGGTTAGTGCTGCAGCTGCTCTGCCACAGATGAAGGCACGGGCCTAGACCCACACTCCGCAGGGCCATGTCTCCCAGGCTAGGCTGGGACGGACAGGCTGGGCCGGCCGGGCTGGGAGGGCTGGGCTGGGCTGGACAGGCTGGGCCGGCCGGGCTGGGAGGGCTGGGCTGGGCTGGACAGGCTGGGCTGGCCGCGCTGGGAGGCTGGGCTGGGACAGACAGGGTGGGATTGACAGGCTGGGCTGGACAGGCCGGGATGGACAGGCTGGGCCGGCTAGGCTGGGACAGCCGGGCTGGGGTGGGACGGACAGGCTGGGACAGCCGGGCTGGGATGGACAGGCTGGGCCGGCCGGGCTGGGATGGACAGGCTGGGCCGGCTGGGCTAGGATGGATAGGCTGGGACAGCCAGGCTGGGCTGGACAGGCTGGGATGGTCGGGCTGGGATGGACAGGCTGGGACGGCCGGGCTGGGAGGCTGGGCTGGGCTGGCCTGGCTGGGACGGCTGGGCTGGGCTGGGCTGGCCAGGCTGAGGGCACCGCCTCTGACCTGGCAACCCATCCTGCGTGGAAGCCCACCCTGGGTTGAGCCTCGGCCGAGCATGGAATTAGTTGTTTGAGGCCACCGTGGGCTGGTCAGGAAAGCAGGTGGACCTGGCGGGCCCTGGCTTGCTTATCCAAGTACCTCCCGACAGATGGGCTTTGCTGATGGCGTTGTTTCCAGCCCCATCAGAAACCCGTAATCCAATTTGCTCCCCTCTGTGAAAACACACAGATGTTCTTGCAGGCCCAGTCTCTGCACAAATCCCCCTCTGAGCAGATGCAGCCCAGTCCTCCTGTGACATTCAGGGGCCAAGCAGCACCAACAGCCTCTCTGGGACTCGGACTGGTGGAAGCTGTTCCCTTCCCAGCTGTCTGCTATCAAGCTCCCTCTTCCTAAGAGCACCCCGATCTTCCCAAAGGCAAACCCCTGTGTGAGTAGCAGAGCATGTATGCACAAACCAGCCTGCCTAGGTTCAAATCCCGGTGTGCTGTGGACTGGCTACAGAAACTGACTCGGTTTCTATCTGTGAAATGAGGAGAATACCAAAACCAAGCCAAACTCATTGCCATCGAGTCACTTCCGGCTCAGAGTGACCCTATAGGACAGAGCAGAACCGCCCCATAGGGTTTCCAAGGAGCAGCTGGTGGATTCGAATTGCCAATCTCTTTGGTTAGCAGCCGAGCTCTTAACCACTGCGTCCCCAGGGCTTCATGGGGGAGAGCACTACCTCCCTTATTTGTCGTCAGCTGCCATCGACTCACGGTGACCCCATGCACAACGGAACGAGATGCTGCCTTGTCCTGGGCCGTGCCCCTCAGCGGCTGCAGATCCACAGGGTTTTCATTGGCTGATTTTCAGTGGATCACTAGGCCTTTGTGCCCCTACTTCACAG